CTCCCAGGAAGCAGCCGATCCCACTTCCGGCGCCCAACATCAACAAGCAGGACCCGGTGGTTTTCCACAAGAGCTCGGTGGGGCTGAATGAAGGGGGCCAACGCCTTTCAGCTACCCCCCTGACAAGTCCAACGGAGCCGTCACCGGGATTGGACATCTTCCCGTGGATGGAGAACATCCCTGAGCGTCTGGTACAGCGGTTGAGATGGACACAGGGCACATCGCTCAAAGTTCCATCCAGTGGGCCCATCATTGTCTTGCTCTATGCAGGCAAGGAGGACCCTACTTCCTTGGACAGCTGTCTTCATGCCAACTACCCACACCTTTCCAGCATGGTGGTGGCGGTAGACATCCTACGGTCTGGACCCAAGGGGGACCACGATATGCTCCAACCCGAGCTGTATGGAGCTCTTTGCACGGCAGCAAAGCAGGGCCGAGTGGTCTTCATTGGAGGAGGACCCAACTGCAGGACATGGTCCATCCTGCGCCACATACCAAAACCGGGGGCTCCCACCGTGCGAGGGCGCACTCCAGAGACACTTTGGGGCCTTCCACACCAACGAGTCCTCGACTCTTAGCAGATACCCTTGGGATATGATGGCAGGCCTGGCCAAAGCCATCGCTGTGTCACTCGCAGCGCCGGGGCACATCCGGATCCCCTCACAATTTCCGGGAAACCCCAAGGAACCACCTAAGGGGCGGGGGTCGGACCCCCCGGAAGGCCATTCCCCCCGGGGAAAACGGGGGCCCAGTCAAGGTGGCGGTCCCTCCTCATCACACCAGGGCTCAAAGCCCGGAGGCAAGAACGCCCCGAAGCCCCGCCTGCACGGGCAGTTCCACCCTGAGGCAGACACCGTAAGCCCTCGTGGAACAATGAACCCAGACTTCCCATCTCCCATGCCCCCGATGGCAGGAGATGCGGAACAACTGGGGAAGGAGGGACAGGGGGACCAGGTCCTGGACCGCCCCGAATGCCTGCCCGCTTTCAGGGTCCCACACCTCACTGACCGGGTGGCGATTGTCCAATTGGGTTTCCGCTTTCTGAGGGATGGGGGGGGAAAACCTTCCCCAGGGAGGCTCAACCCTTTTCGGAGAATTTCCCCATTGGCTACTTTGGGCACCCTGATCATGACCCTTACCCGGCCCTGGATTGACAAGGTCCGAATGTCCCTGGCATCAGGTGCCACCACACACCCCTTCCAGGAAGCCGACCTCGAGGAGCTGCGGGCTATCCTAGGACCGAGGCACCTCCATGAACGATGCCCAGGACAACCCTTCCTCCTGGACTTAGTGTCGCACTTGGCATCCCTTTCAGGTGACCCTGATTGGGAGTTCCCCCTAACACTGAAAGAGGGGGTCCCCATGGGAGTCTCGGACCCTACCTTGACCTCCCCGGGAGTTTGGCCCACTAAGGAGGAGCTTAAGGGAGAAGCCTGGCTGGGGGAAGATCCCCCCCCGCCAGTGGCTCATGATAACTACCCAACGGATGAACTCTTTGCCAAGGAAATCGAATCAACCTTTTACGAGGAACGAGCCTTGGACATGGTGGACGGGCCCTTCACTCGCTCCGAGGCGGCAGAGAGGTGCCGCTGCAAACCGGAGGAACTTTGCCTGGGCCCCCTTGCAGGGATTGATGAGTCGGACAAGATCAGGACGATCTATGATGGCTCAAAAGGGGGAGCAAACGCACACATCCAGGCTCACACGGAGGAGAAGACCACCGCACCGATGGTTGGAGACTGCCTCCATGCCATCCACTGGCTCAGGACAGCGGCGGACCATCCTCATCTACTCCGAGCCCCATCCTCGGGCACTGATGAGGAACCTCGGGATGTTCACCAGCCGGTGCAGGGGCAGTCCCCAGGTGCCGAGGGCCCTGAGAGGGACCCCCACAGCACCAGCCTGCCCCCAGGTGCCGAGGGCCCTGATAGGGGCAGGCGGATGATGGAGACCTCAGGCGGCCTGGTCTCTCCGCGGTCAACACCCTCAGGGAAGGGGCCACTCCCAGGTGCCGAGGGCCCTGATAGGAGGGCCCCATTCCCCCCAACCCCCCCAGGCACGGAACGCCCTGGGGGGAGCAGGGGGGAACCCCTGACGTGGCAGCCGCCGACACAGGGGGAAACCTTCATCATCCTCAAGGCGGATGTCACCAAGGCCCACAGGCGCATAAAAGTGCTCCAGAAAGACTGGAAATACCAGGTGGCCTGCATCCAGAACCGGTGGTGGGTCAATAGAGTGGGCACGTACGGCATGGCCTCGGCACAACTGTACTGGGGAAGAAAGGCATCCTTGGTGCTCAGACTCTTGTACTACATCTTCCCTCAGGTAGACTGGCACTTAGTTTTTGTGGACGACTACTGCTGGGTCCTCAGATGCAGCAGGGCGGACTGGGACGCCACAGCCATCCTGGCCACTCTTCTGGCGCTGGGAGTCCCGCTTTCTTGGAAGAAGACGGCGCTCTCCCCGGTCAATACCTGGTTGGGATTCGTGGTGGACCCAATCACGCCCTGTGTGCTGCTGGCTCCAGTCAAGCACGTCATAATCCTGGCCACTCTCAAACGGCTGGCCCAGGGGGACATCTTTACCAGCAAGGAGGTGGAACAAGCCCTGGGCCGGATTCAATGGGCTACTTCGGCGTGTCCATTGACGAAACCTTTCCTCCAGCCCTTTTGGAGCTGGAAGAAGGCCTGCACCACTTCGGGCAGGCCATCCTTCTGGGGAAGCTCTTCAACCAGAGGTTCCCACTGGCATCTCCATTTGCTCCCACACTTCCATGGACGGGGGCATCTGATGCGGGAGCTGGCAAACAGGCGGACCATGCATGGGTTGGTGGTTGGTGCTCGGACGTGCCCAACCCCGACAAGTCCCGAGTGAAGTGGTTCCAACACAGAATCACACCGGAGGGCGAGCCGTGGGCCTTCACTACTGGGGACCCGCAGCGGGCGATAGCGGCCTTGGAGCTCTTCGGCCTCCTCCTTTTGGTGAGGGCTGTTCTGCTTTGTGCAGCCGGCTCGGCTTCTCACACTAGGATTCTGGTTGCTAGTGATAACCAGGGAAACGTTTTCTCCCTGCTTAACGATTCCACTCGCAGGATGCCCAATGCGGCCATCCTCATGGAAATTGTGTTAACACTGCATGACCACCAGGTCATGTTAGGACCGTCGCATGTGAAGCGCGACTTTAACACATGGGCGGATGAACTTACTCATCCGGACCCGCAATTTCCGACTGAGAACCGGGTCTTCCCCTCAGTCGAAAGCGAATTGATCAAGCTGATCTTCGCTACTTTCCTTCCTCACCCATGATGCCGGGAGGGCATCCGGTGAGGTGGGAGGATTCCTCCCTCGCTGTGGGAGTGGCATCAATTCTACTCCCATCAGCTGCTGAGGGGAGCTGCCCAGTGGAGCTGGGCAATCCTCCCATTTTGGCACTAATCCTTATGCGGCGTAAAGGATGCACCGTTTCGCGATTAAGGTACCAGTAGCACCAATGTGGTGCTTTGAAGAGTCATGCCCATGTCTGGATGGTTCCCCTGCACCCATATGTAGAGTTGGTACCCCTGTTTTAGGGGGGTTTAAAGGGGCACCGCCAGCAACAAACCCCTTTTGCGATCCCATTTTCGATTCGGAGCCGGCGAGGCTCTGGACGTGGAGCGGTACCCGGAGCTGGAGATCTACTGCGCTTCGGCCGAAAGAACTCGAAGCGGGGACTGGCGGCGGCGCCTCGTTTTTTTTTTTTGCAGCGCAAAAGCCCCGGGCACTTTTTGGCTGGAGGGGTTTTGAAAGAAACCAAAAGGAAGCCAAACGGTCCCCGATTTTGAGGAACAGACGAAGGTTTGTGTTTGACATTACTGGTGATTTTGAGGTTCACTGTGGACCAGGATCAAAAAACGAGACGATTTTGTTTAGGCGGGGAGGAGGTTGTACTTTTCTCCTATAGATTGACACGGAAGGAAGCCCAACCGACTATCCATTTGCAGGGAGTGCTGGATAGGAATAGTGCCATCCCCCAGAAGGTCGGCTTTGGGTGGATCCCCTATGACTCAAGAGGGGAGGATATTGTTGACCCATGCTCTTGATCTTCGGACAGACAAAATCACACTAAGAAGTAGCACCCGGATGACAATATCAGGGCTGAAAAAAGTACAAAATGAGGAAGCCTGGCTTATCGCGCCAATGCTTGTTTCCTTGGCGACGCATGGACGTTTGTTGCCTCAGGTTGGTGAGTCATTCCTATTTGCCTGGGTGCATTCGTTGCTTGGGGAATATATACACACCGCAGCATCGCTGCACAGACCCCCTCTTCACAGCAGGAGGTTTGCAATTGCTCCTTGATTTCATCAAAGTTCCCAGACATGCAAAGTGGAAGGGCCTTTTCAGCCCGGCCGGACCAGTTGGACTCCGGTGAAGTTTCTCGGAACACGGCGGCTCCGTTTCCACCCCAATCCATTTTTCCTTCGTGGCCAGCGAGCGCTTGCCAAGCGCTGGCTGTGGCACAAGGAGCATTGCTTGTTTTGACAACCAATCTTCAAATGGGATCAACCCTCCGTGCATGGAAAGAGGGCAGTTTTGGATTGGCTCCAAATCCTTCCTCTTTCACAAGGATCCTCAGAAGTACATTTCTGAGCCCACCTGCCTATAGGGTGTAAGGCTGGGGGGCGGACGTAAAAATGCCAAGTCCGGATGATCAGAATATGTATGGGAGCTTGTAAAAATTGGTGGACCCCCTTTTGGTTGGCATTTCAAGGATGCGTTTGAAAGAAACAGCAACATATGGCTTAAATTTCCTCTTCACATGCTCATGGCGAAGCCAAGAGAAGGGATGTGTACAAAATGACTCAGCCTGCCAGGGTTCCCAGAGTTTTTTTTTGCTTTTTTGGTTTTTTGAGCCGGGCTCCGAGGGATGTGTGCAAAATGATTCAGCTAATATTGGCGCGTCTTGAGAACTTGGGGGACATTTCCAGAGTGGTGGTTGCTCCTTTGGTTGCTCCTGTTCCCGAGGCGAGGCCGGGGACGTGCTGCTGCTGCATCCCCACGTGGCCCACAGCAGCACCACCAACGTGCGCTGCGGCGCGCCGGTGCGCCTGGCGCTCACGAAGCGAGCCTATTGGGTGGCAGGAGCGGTTTAAGGGGAGCGGCGGCCGGGGGCTTAAAGGGGGGTCAGCCCCCGTTTTGTTTCTTCTTCCTTTTTTAGAGGGGGGGGAGAGGGGGGGGGATTTTTCAGTCAGCCCTTTCTTTTTTTTCATGTTTTTCTCGTTTTTTTTTTTTTTTTGGGGGGGGGGGGTTATTCTAAGCAAATGGCCAAGTAGCTGTGATCCAAAGAACACTCCCCCTCCAAAAGGAGAGCGCCAAAAGCGGTCCCTGTTGGAAGCGCTGGTGGCATGTGCGCTTCCTTTGGGGTACCGTACTTCGGCTTGACTTAGATCGGCGTGGAGGAGGGTGTCATTCCACAACGCAAACGCAGGGTAGACTTCATCTAGGGGAGGTGGATTTCCTCAAAGGGAACCCCCTTGAGTTTAAAGGTTTATGCCGGAGGAATGAAAAAAAGGAACCTTGGTCAAGAATCCCCCCGCCCCCCACAGAAAGGGTGTGTCCAAATCCTAACCTCAACGGGGCGTTTGTAAAATTCCACCAGGCTTTGATTTCTGGCCAGAATTTGTGACTCGACGACTCAGGCGCAATATGAGTTACTGTACCACTGCCAAGGTTGCCGGCACCAAGCTACCCGAACCCGCCTGAACCGCTTGACCTGACTCCAAGACTCCAGAGTTCCGATGCAAAGTCTCTTAGCCCGTTTTCATGCCTTGGTTTGCTGGGGGGCCAATGGTGGCACTTTTTGTGATACCAAAGTAATCCCTTTGAAGTGACCGGAAGTTTTGGGGATTCCACTTCGGTCGTATTGCAGAAGGACACATTGTTTTTTCGCCGAAGAGGGGGAACAAAACTGTTGTTACTAAGCCGGGGACTTTTTTGGAAGACACCCTGTTCAGAGTTGGCTGCTTTACAAGCGACCGAGATTGGCTTCCTTCTGACTGGCATCTTGAACCATAAGGAAAACATCAGTTTTCCCACAGTACAACAAATCCAATAAACACGTAGCAAACAACAAGTACGAATCGGTAAATCAATGGACGTAGTTTCATTCAATCTAGCTTCAACAACTATGACTATAGAACTTAAAAAGAAAGAAACAAGCACTCAAAAAGCAACAACAACATAAAGCACCAAATCTCTAGTTGGAAGAACTCCAACAGCCACCTTATGCGTGTGAAAAAAAGGAACAGCAACAAACATCCGCCCGATTTTTCTTGCGGCCAGGGCCTGCCCCCTCCGTGGAAACGCTGGCGCCGGTGGAGCTGGCCATGTCCTGGGCCGCCTTATCGCCTGAGAGGCGACGACTTTCCAGCGAGCGAGGGGCGCGCTGGGTTGGACCTTTGGACTTTTTCAACTTTTTGGTTGAAATCCAGTTGGGGTTTTCCAGGACACCTGCAAACAGAGAAAAACTTTTTGCAGAGGGGTCGGCAGCAACCAAGCCAGCGAGCGAGGGGCGCGCTTTTTTTCTTCCCTCGGCGTGTTGTGTTTCCACTGGGTTGAGGGGCGCATGTTTTGGTCTTGTTGGTTGAGGTTTTTGAGGTTTGTGTATTAATTGAGGTTTTTTGGTACCTTTTTGAAGCACTTGTTGTTGGTTTTGGAGGTGTGGCGCCCTTTATAGGCCGGGAACAAACCCGTTTTTTGGGGTCGAGGGGGGGGGGCGCTCCTGAGTCCTGCCGTTGGTTTCGGCGCCGGCGGGTTGCGGACCTGAGGCCTCCGCTGGGCCGTCTGCTGAGCCTCGCGGAGGCGGCGCTGGCGGAGGCGGCGGACGGCCGGGTGCTGCGGTGGCGCGCGCTGCGGGCCATGGACTTCGAGGCGTCGCCGCGCGCGGAGCGCGGATCGAAGCTCGCGGGGAGTTTCGGAGTTGGTCGGGGAGTTTCGGAGTTTGGTGGATGGGGGTTTTGAAGGGTTTTTGGGGAGGAATTCTGGCTTTCTGGTCTGAGTCTCTGAGTTTGGGCTTGGGGGAGGAGTTGTTGGGGGAGTCTGGGGGCAGTCGGCGGGGGGGGTTGCGGAACCTGTCTTGGAGTCTTGATACCTGTCTTGGGGGAAGCTGTCTTGGGGGGTCTTGGGGGGAGTGTGGGCGATCTAGCTTGGTGAAAAGCTGAGGTTTTGGCTTCTAGTTTTAGGTTGGAGGGGCTAAGGCGAGGGGAGTTGAGGGGTGAGGTTGAGGGGAGTTTGAGGGGGAGGTTGAGGGGGAGGTTGAGAGGAGGTTGAGGGGTGGAGAATACAACGCTGTTCGGGGGGGGGGGGGAGGGGGCTTCGCGATTCCTCATAGTTCCGTTTTCGGGTGGAGACATTTTGACCAGGGAGTACAGAGAGTCCGTGTCGGGTAGTTTGTCAACCCGCATTGGAACAGAGGCACGGTTTTGGTAGCGATGTTTGAAAGGAAGCCAAAATCGGGGCCACATATTAGCTGCACATCCCCTGTGGTTCTTTCTTGGTGGAACGAGCACATCACCCTTTGGAAAGGTCAATTGCAACCGCGTTTTCCGCGGGGTAGTAGTTTGTGTTTGCAGTGCGCGCAGGTGCCCTTTGCAACGAAAGAAGATGTGGACGCCTTGCTCCAGGATGACGAGTGTGCCGCTTGGCATTTTTTCTCAAAGAAACAGGCATTGACAATTTTGGATGTGTCCAACAAAGTGGTGCGAAAACTGATTTGGGAGCCAAAAACGCGGACACAGTTGATTGGGGGGGGGGGAGCTATATATGATAAATATGTGCGATTCTGTTTTTTGAGGGTACCCTCTTGTGCGAGAAGAAAGTCACAAAAATGACAAGACATTGCAGAAAGTGGAAGCTTCCAAAAGTAGTGTTGATTCTTTTGGCAAGCGCCCCCAAAAGAAGACCGCATGATCCTCTTCTCGGTATTGGACATTTAACAGCTCAAACATCTACGTGGGGACTTATCAATTCAATTTGACTTGCACTTTGAGCAAGAATATGTTTGGAAAGGAGTTCCGACTTGAATTCCTGATCGAACTAGACAATCAAAATCGAATTACATTGCGATTAGCTTTACAAAAATCCTACTTGGAAAGGACATCCTACTTCAATTCTAGATGAGCATAGACATTCAAATTGAATTATGTAATGTCCTTCTTCAGTTCTATCACACGTCTAAACACATATTTGTTCATATCTCATGAACAATGAGTTCACATTTGAATTATAATTGACAGAGTCAAAGACAGTTTGGCTAGAAAACTTCCGTAATACTAAAAGTGAAGTTCCCCACATGCGAAGCACGAGAGTTTTGCGCACGGGTTCGCCACGGTCCCAATGGCACGTCCGCGCAAGATTTCGCTAGGTTTGAATTGCGTTGCAGGCACAGCACTTTGGCAACCTGAGTTGCACAATTCCGCAAAGCCGGCGAGGAAGCAACCAGCTTGTGCGCATGCTTGTCATTTGCCTTGGGCGGCGCTTGTGAACATGTGCAAGTGGCCGACGCCGTCCTTGGAACTTCAAGTTTGGAAGTGCGCCGCGGAGGGCGGGCAACAGTCATGCCGAGAGAGGGAGAGAGAGAGCCGACAAGCAGAGGTCTTTGAAGAGAAGGCGCGAGGTGACAGCGCTCCGGGCGGAAGCGCCGAAGGCACAGCAAGAAAGTTGTCGCCGACAGTTGTGTAATACGGCTTGTCTTGCAACGGCAGGAATGCTAGCTCTAAACATGCATGACAGCAAAGAAAGCACCCACAGGGTCTGCCTGCTGATTTGCAGGACCGCGTTCGCCAGTGTGTCTTTCTTTGTTTGCAGGGCCGGCGCAAAGCAAGAACAAAAACCGACTCCTTATGGATGATCTTGTTCGAATTGTTCTACACAATGTGCAACAAACGCAGAGTTGTTTGCGCACAATTACTAGAAGGTTGCGGACGCTGAGGGTGTTTCGCAATTTGCGTAATGCAAATCGAACACGGACTCCGTTTTGGTTTACGCGTCGTTCTTACGACAAAAACACAAAAACTTAGAAGCGCTGTGTGTGTGTGTGTGTGGGTGCGTGCGTGCGTGCGTGCGTGCGTGCGTGCGTGGGTGGGTGGGTGGGTGGGTGGGTGGGTGGGTGGGTGTGTTTGTGTGTGTATGTGGTTTTTTAAAACGTTTTTTGCAGACAGAGCAACAAAGGGAGTTTTGGGAGGGTGACCCCATACAAACAGACATAGAAGAATATATATATATATATATACACCTATCTCTATGTGCATATACACCATGCTGCGCGCTGAAGCGAGGACCTGGGGGGCCGACTGCTCAGCCCACAGCTCCTGGCCTCAACGCTGACGCGGCTGGCTCGGCCGGGGCGGCTGCAGCGCCTGGGCCTGGCGCGGTGTGGCCTGGGCCCTGTGCCTGTGGCGCAAAGGGCGGGTTCACTTGGAGGGTGGGGGGTGGGGGCAGGGCTATCTTTTGTGAGAAAATTGGCACCCCTCAAAAACGACTCCTTCAAGGGGGTCCACAAAATACCTCTGCTGGGTGGGGGGTGGGGGGGCGTTTCCTGGCGACCATGCCTAACATGCGAAAGGTCGGCGTTTTGGCGAAAACGCCGGGGGTGCTGATGGGGGTGTTGGCTGCCTGTCCCCTAGGCCGGCGCCTGCGCGCTGGGCAAGGCGCTGCGCGATGCGGTTCCCGCCCCCCGGGAGCTGCTGCTGCAAGGCAGCGCCGGGGGAACACAGCGCGTTTGACCCGCGCAGGTGCCCTCAGGTGTTTTTTTTGGCTGCATCGGAATGGGCATCTTTAGTTCGTTGGCTGACACCACTCTCTTGCTATTTGGGGTCTATGCAGTTGTTTTTTTTTTTTGGTGGGGGGTTGGCCTTCGGAGTCGGAGTTTGGTTGTTACCTCATGATAGTGGTGGGGTTGATGGCCTCATGGAGACGGTTTGAGTGTTTGGCTGTTGGCTTATGACTGCGGTTGCCTCATTTGAGGGCGTGCCGTGGGGTGCGGGCGGCGACCGCGAGGCAACTGCCTGGGGGACGGCGGCGTGGTGGGCCTCCTCGCGGCGGCCGGGCGGAGCTTGGGCACCTCGGCTCGTCGAAGCTCGCGTTGGAAAAGGGGCGAAAAGGGCGTGGGGGTTGGAGTCTTTTCAACATGGGTTCGGCTGTTTCGGTGGATTTGTTCTTTAAAATGGCAGAGTTCCCTGGTTGGTATTTGAAGGGAAGCCAGAAGGACTGCACACAGCTTGGGATTTGTTTCAAGCCTCTTCCCACGCCTGCTTTCTCAACCCTCCGCCCCAAACATCCCCTCGGGCTCCCTGGAATGGGATTGTTCCATCGGGGGTGGATCTAAGAGACCGACGGAGCAATCCGCGAAGCGGACTTTTTAACCGACGGCTTTCGACCTCCCATTTTGTTCATTCTATCCCCAGGTTGGGTGAGCAAGTCGTCGGGTCTAACCGTTAAACCAATGGGTTCATGTCGGATGCCACACACACACACACTCATGATGCTTGCCCTGTACAAGCGATCAGACTCTCTTTGAATCAAAACCCGGTCAACGGTGTTCTTTGAAGTTGCACTTGTACACCTCCTCCGCCGGAAGTCTGCGGCCTGTGACTGTGTTTCCGTTTCGGGCCCTTGCGACGTTGCTGTGTTTTCGGCTCAGTTCTTGGTGAAATCTCCGTCGCTGGACCAAAACCCTCAGCCGCCGCCTCCCGCCTCAAGCGACCCCCGGCTCCAGCGAGCACCTCGCCGCAGGCGCCGTGGAGGTGCTGTCGCTGAGCGGCAACGGCTTGTCGGCCGTGGCGGCGGAGGCCCTGGCGGCGGCGGCGGCGCCGGGCCTCGGAGCGCCGGGGGCCCCGGGAACCCCGGGAGCTGCGGCTGGGGTCTGGGTTTGAGGGGTCTGGGTGGTTTGGGGGAGGACGGTGTTGGGGTGGGGCCTCGCAATGGCCAATTTGTCGGGTTTGGTTCCACCCTTGTAACTTTTTGGAGGGATTCCACCGGGTTCGGTTTGTTTTTTGTCCTTTGTGAGGACCATCTAGTTGAACGGGGTGGATGTCGTGTGAGGTCACTGGAAGTAGTTTGTGGGGTGCCTTTTCAAGGGCGGGACCGACGAGGAGATGTTCACAGCGCAGACTGGGCCCTGACCTTCCTTGAGGCCCATGATGGCCCATGATTGCAAATCAATGCATGAGCATTTGTGCAACACCTACGCGCCTGTCGCCTGTTGACTCCTGACATATTGCAAATTGCCCATGGGTTTCCATGGGTTTCCCTAGGGCACCAGCGGTAGGGGGGGTCGCATGGAGCATTCCGAAGCGACCCGAAGCGCCGCTCGCGAGGCACCTCAAGCTGAGCGAAAACCGCATCGGTCCTGAAGGCGGGGGCATGCTGCTTTCGAACCCGTCAGCTGGTGACAGACGGCTGGGTAGCCGTTTTGGGATCGCCGCCGCCTCGAATTTGGCGAAATCCTTGGTGACGTCTTAAGGGGAAGAGTGAAAGATGGTTCCCATTTGGGTTGGGGAGCTGTTTGCCATTTGGGCGCAAGTCTACTCACCCGAACAGCGCGGAATTCGGTTCCTTCCTTGGGCGCCACCAATTTACTGTACTCTTCAGATGAACTAGCACGATGAAGCCCAACTAGCACTTGTTCCATGTTCCAGTTGCACTTGTGTTTTGTGTCTGCTTTTTCTTTTTGGGACCCCTTCCGTGTTTTTCTTTTTTCTTTTGGGTGCCCCTGCAAGGAAGCCAAAAAGGGAAACCTCACATCGTCTTGGGGTCCAAGTCCCTGACGCAGACCCCGGCTGCGCGCGCGCGTTCGCGCGCAGGCGCCCACGCGCTGGCGGCTCTGGCACACCGCTGCGGGCGCCTGGAGCTGCGGGGCTGCCCGTTGCAGGCGCCGCGCCTGGCTCCTGACGGGAGGTCCCAAGAACTCCAGCTGAGGTTTGTTGACCTTCGTGAGCCCTTTCCCCTTTTCCAGGCTGCGGTTTCGGCTTGGGTCTTGCAGGACTCCTTCTGCGCGGCGCTCAAAGAGCAGCAGAACTGCAGCTTGGAGGCCGGAGAAGCGGAGTTGGTTCCCCGGAGTTTTGCTCCAGAACCCATAAAGTCGTCCCCTTTCAACCAAAGGTTGAAAGATCAGCAGTTTCAAGTCTTTTTCGGGGGGGTTCCAAATGAGTAGGGGGCAAATATTGTGACCTTGGTTTGGTCACAAGGGTGGCAACTAGACCTTCATCGCCGATATTGTCTTTGGCAAGCCTTTTGGCAAACCATTTGCTCACGATTCCTTGCTCAAAATAGCGTGTACTTGCCCAAATGTCTCGGACTGCCATTGTTCAAAAAGGGGCCACAAATATTTGCCGACCTCGCAGTGAGTCGTTGGACTTCGCCCAACTAGTTGTGCCCATCTGAGTCACAATCAGAATCCCGGCGACAGATTCAGTCATAAATAGCATGTCCTTGCCTTGATTCCGTACATCACCCGCCAGCTTTTGATTGACATTCCGCCAACAGCAACAAAAGCAACCCGGGAAGGAACCCCTTCGATCCACCAGTGCCAGCAAGAGCAAATGCACTGGTGCGTTTTATGGCATTCTGTGATGAGCATGCTTTTGATGCTTTTCCTTTTTGTGAGGCAGTGGCATATGGCTGTGGGTCAAAACCACTGGTACCATTTTGGGGTAGGTGATTTCACCACCCGTTTTAGAACCTATTTTAGTGGTTGGATTGGGATGTTCACCGGGGGTTGGGGCTTTGGATTTTGAAAACCCGTTTGATCGAACCGATGTCTTTTTTTTGCCGATCAACGGAGGCCTTGGACTTGGAGGCCACCGGCGCCACGGACGCCTCCTGCGGCCTCATCGCGGAGCTTTTCGCCGCGCAGGGCGCGTCCGCGCCCGGGCCGCGGCTGAAGCTGGTGCGGCTCTCGCTGCGGGGCTGCCGCGTCACGGACGCCGGGGCCCGGGCGCTGGCGCGCGAAGCCGCGGGGCGCCTGTGCAGGCGAGCCGCGCCCCGAGCGAGTGGTTCGTTTGGGGGGGGAGGGGTTCATGATGGAGCCGTGTGTGGGTCCGGTTTTTTGAGGGTTGCCTTCTTCAAGGGAAGCCAAAAAGGGAAAGGTCAGGACTTGAGGGGTGCGACTCTTTTGATACGTCTTTTTGAAGGGGCCCCTTGCTTGGCCCGCAAAAAGCGGTCGACGGGCGGCTTCGCCAGGCTCGACCTGGGCCGAAACGCCGTGGGGGATGCGGGCCTGGAGGCCTTGGCACACGCCGGAGGCGTGGCGCTTGCCGGTCTTCGAAGTGGGGCGTGACAACAATTGCGGGAAGCCCGAAACTGGCGGCTTTTCCTCTGGGTGTCCCTTGCAAACCCTGAGCCCCGGAAAGTCCTCCAAACACGCCGCCGCGGGCGCCGCGGGCGCCGCCAGCGCCGCGGGTGCTCGAGCCGCGTCCGTTTCCGGTGGCCTTTCGAAGGCGGCGAGCTGCTGCTGGGCACCAACCGCGTCGGCGACCGGGGCTTCCTTTCGCTGCTCGGCGCGGCCGAAGGCGACGAAAGCTGGGAGCTGGGCTTCGTGAACTTAACGAGCGCCGCGGCGGCGGGGGGCAGACGGGGGCAGACGGGGGCAAGGTGTCCCCTTGCTGTCTGTGATATGATGCGTTCCAGGCGAAGATGGTCCCTGCATTGTTGGTCCTTTTTTTGCTTTTTGAAAATATGGGAGTTTGGTCAGGTTTTGGTCTGGTTTGGTCGGTATTGGGCCAGTTTCCCGCATGGAAGTGGACAAGAGGGGTTTAGAAGACAAGCATCTTATTGAACAAAGTCCCATGCGGAAGGTGTCCTTTTTTGAAGGTTTGGCAACACATGATCAGTTTTCCACCCGGGCAGGCTGTGTGGCCACTCTCTTAATCAAACTGCGACCTCACAAAGCGTATTGTCATTGCTCTTGTTGCTACCCAGACATGGACCTTCCACTGAAAAAAGCCCAGATTCCGGACGGGTTGCTTGAGCTCCCTCGAAGAATTAAAAACAACAAAAAACGTGTGGCATGCGAGTATGATCGGTTCTTCTTCGGTTTATTCTCTGAGGCAACCTCCTCACCTCCACCTCCGTGGACGCGGCCGCGGCCTTTCTGCGCCAAAGAGCCGCGAGCGGCGGGCGCCTGGGGCTTTTGGGGCTGGACCTCACCTACAACGACGCCTCGGCGGCTCGGAGCCGTGGGATTGGGGGGGGTTGGGGGTTGGCGGGGGGGAGTGGGTTGCTGGGGCTTGTTTCTCGCAGAGATTAGGGTTGGGGTTGGGAGAAGTGGGTGGCTGGTGGGCTTGGTTTCGCGCTCAGATCAGGTTTATTCAATATCTCTGAGAGGATTGGGGGATAGGATCTTGACTGCGAAGGTGGGTCTCTCCTCTTTGGTTTCCTTTGGGTTGAATTGGGACAGACCCACATCTATCTTCAGCCAAGGCTTCCGCACGGTGCTTGTCACGTCTGGAGTAAGGCAAATCCGTCCAGATGCTGTTGGGGTTGCAGGGGTTTGTCCTTTGGTAGGCCTGGTAGGCCCCAGTACCGAGGTGAAACTCCCCCGGAAACCGAGCAGAAGGTCCTTTGGTACGTTTAGGGCGGAAATGACGGGGATTTTGGAGTTTGAAAGTAGGCCCAGGGGATGCGATGTGAGTTGTGCAGCCGCCGCCCTCTGGCGAGGTCGCCTCTGTCCGGGACTTCCGCGCAGCCGCGGCGGCGGCGGCGGCCGTCTTCCCGCAAGTCCGAGCCTGCCACTTCACCGCCGGGTGCGGCTGACATCTCTGGGAAACGGGGACGGAGGCGTGTGACGCGCGCACGAGGTCCACGATTTGAGCAGAGTTTCTCAATGCTGAATCTCGGGCAGACGCCAAAGTTCGCAATGCAGCAGAAGCGGCCCTTTCCACCAAACCGGGCCCTGGCGATCGGACGAGAAGACCCTCTGCGGTGTTCTTGGAGCGCTCAAGGAACGCGGCTTGGTCCCGGAGTCCCTTGCCAGAAGGCGAGGGAGCGCTAGAGAAGGCAAAGTCTGAAGGGGTCCCGCGGAACTTTGACTTGTTTGCTCCTGGGGCCCGGTTGATTTCATGTTTCCCCATAGATTTGCTGAAAGAGAACCGGTCAGGAGTAAGTGATCCATGACTTTTGTTCCCGCCTGAATCACATGGAGATTTAAGGTCTCACTTGCCCACCTGGTGGAAGTCATCGGAAAATCCGGCCCCTCTGAGCGCCGCCCACCGGCATGCCATGTGCGTTGGAAGCAGATAACCGCGAGTGGCCACACGTCCAAATCCGCAAAGGAGCAAATTGGGGATTCCAAGCAACAGCCAGCTACGCAAATGGTGGTTCCATTTATTGTTGCCATGAGGCGTTAGGCTTTTACGTTACATTTGGGACTACAAGACGACAGCTGTTTGGCTCAAACTTGGGTGCACTGGCGACTCTGGTATTTGGTGCGTTTTTGTTGGTTCATTTTGTGGATGACGCGCGCTATTTGCTCGTTTTGGCAGGTGATGCTCACCCCGATTCCAGAGTCACCAGCGAAGAAGGACGCTTGGGCTTTCATGGTCAGGCAACCGGGCCAAGCCGACTGCGGCCAGGAGGAGGGGAAGGCGCACCTGCGCCAGGAAAGAAGCAATCGGCAGTCAGCGCTTTGCGCGCTGTGCTGCCCTGAGGTGGGCAAAATTTGGTTGGCTCGGGGGTTTGGTGCGCGCCGTGCGTTGGCAGGAGCGGTCCTCTACAGAGGAGGCGGGCAGTGTGCCAGGAATCTGTGGTTAAAATGTCCAGTGCGTGTGCTGAGCGCGTACTGAACAGTTGCGATTTCGAGCGGAGGTTTCACGGCCAACGTGTGCTCCATGTGTTGTATTTGTGCTGACAAGTTGCGATTTTCGCAGACTCCTGCAATTTTCGAGCCGGAGCTGCCAAGACCGTGTTTCACAGGCTACACCCGTGCTGGCAAAGTTGTGATTTTGAAGCTGGAGGAAAGCTAAATGACAGGTGTTCCGAAGGAGGTTGTTGGGCAAGAGCATCCCGCTCATGCCGTGAACCGCGAAAGTATTTGCTAACGCATGCTCTGTTCGGGTGAGTTTGACAGATGTGGCTCACGCATTTCTTCGTCAAGTCTGTCGTGCTCTTCAGGCCATCAGCCACTCAGGCTTTCCCTCAGAACCCGTTCGTGCTATGGGCAACAGACCTGCCATGCAGTTTGTTGCCCGAACATGTTATGCTTGCGGAAAGGCTAGGGTTGCAACGAGGTTACTCAACACCAACCCTAAGCCCAGCCTGAACCAGCCCTAAACCACCCTAAACCAAGCCTAACCCCACCCCAACCCCAAATCTATCTAAACCAACCTAAAACTACCCTAAACCCCGAAATTAACCCTAAAAAAAATCTTGAAACAACCCCCAAACCAACCTCAACCAACCCTAAACCAACCTTCAAAACAACCCTAAACAAACCCAGGCCGCCTTGAACTAAACCCACTCTATACCCAAACCAAAGTAGCGAATTGGGAACTGATGGTTCCATCTATTGTTGGCGTGAGGTCTGAGGTTGAAGTTTTGATGCTGCAGTTGTGACTGCAGACGATAGCAGTTGGGCTCAAAGTGGGGTGCGCTGGCGCCTGTGGTATTTGGCCCGTTTTTTGGGATTCGTTTTGTGGATGACGCGCTTTTTGCTCGTTTTGGCAGGTGTGGCCGAGCCTATCCCGGAGTCGCCAGCGAAGAAGGAAGCCGCTTGGGCGTTCATGCTCTGTCATGGGGCCAAGGGTGCCAAATTGCACAGATGAGGGGTTGGTTCCAAACAGAATCTTGACTGTTTGAACGTTGAAAAAATTCGTCAGGCGACCGGGCTAAGTCGACTGCCAGGAGGACGGGAAGGCGCTTGCTGCAGGCAGCGCTTTGCGCGCTGCGCTGCGCTCAGCCTCGCCGCTGCCGGAGCAAGCGTGCTCGGGAAGCAGTGTATTTCGCGCACCGGCTCAAAAAGCTCGCCCAGACCTTCCTCGGCGACCCGAAGCTGCCGTTCGGGGGCCGGTCTTTCAGCGGCTACGCAGTCGGGGACACCTGGGGCGAGTTGAAGTCCGGGCAGTGCTACTTTTCGACGGCAAGGCTGGGCCGCACCGCTTTGGCGGAGTGTGCTTCAAGCTCTTGCTCTGTCGTCAGGAGTTCTTGGCCGGAGAATTTGTCGTGTGGCGCTTCCCGGTCCTCCGCTCTTCGGACATCAGCGTTTGGAAGGCGCGGGATGGTTCTGTTCGCTTCGCTTGTTTTGCCGCGTCGGCCGTCGCAGGCGATGGAGTGGGTCCAGCTTAAGCCCCAGAACGTGTTCGCCTGCAACCGGGAAGAGGCCGGGCGAAGACGGTTGCGAGAAAACGTGTTGGCGCGAACGGGCGCAGCTGTTCCGCAGGACACCATCGTCGACCTCGCCAAAGGAGACATGGGCGGCGACACTCTGTGTGCGACATCGCGCTTGCCGGTTCTTGAGACGGAGTGTGATAAAAAAGAATGACCGTTTGCGAATTTGTGGTCCTTCTGAGCCCCTTGAGCCGCCGCAACCCAGGATGCAGGCGCATGGCCGGACTACATCCGGCGAATTGGGGAAGTGCCCACGCCGGGCGCCAAGTCCACGGTCACCTGCCAGTTTGAGCAAGCCCTCCACGCAGCGTGCCAATGCTCCTTGGCGGCATATCTAGAAGTTGGCGGCAGAGGTAGAAAAGTGTTTGACGGCGGGGAGAGGAAGCAAGAAATGGGAGGCAGTCGTCTGCAAGGCGGCGCTGAGCGCTCTGCGCGCGGGCGGCGTGGCGGCCTCCACTCCGCGCACGTCATGAAGGCGCTCCTGGCCCAGGACCCCGACCGGCTTGAAGCAAGTCATTCCCCACGCCTTGGCGAACGTTCAGGCGGGAGGCAAACCAAGGGCCCGCCCTCCATTGAACGCGATTGCTTTTGCTCAGGCTCGCAGGTCGACCCGTCATTCGGTTTGCTCGGGGTGTGCTGGATGCTGTCACGAGATGGTTTGGCTCGCTCAGCTCTCTCGCTATCTTGCGCGCTCCGCGCGCTCCAGCTTTTGATCCACCAGTCCTGCGCGCTCCGCGCGGTCCCTCCTCTCTCACCGCTCTCCCCGCTCCGATTCCCGTGCGTTTTGCGCGCTCATGTTGCCTCACGCGCTTGCTGGGCTGATTGCTGTCGTTTGTTTCCCCCACTTGTGTCCTCACGCGCTTGGTGGATGCTCTCACGAGATGGTCTGGTTCAGTCAACGCACTTGCTGGTCTGGATGCTGTCACGAGATGGTCTGGCTCGCTCAACGCCTTGTTCTTGACACCCTCCTCCCCCTTGCGCTCGCTAAACTGCGCGCTCCGCGCACTCCCTTCCGCGCTTCCTCCTCTACGCGCTCCGATTCCCGCGCGTTTCGTGCGCTCATGGCGTTGTCTCCCCCTTGCCTCCCTTCATATGTCGGCTGATCAGGTTCAACAGGGCCTTTTGCAGGAAGCGCCTTGCCGCGCTTTGTTTCATGAGGTGTTTGGGGTCTTCGGCGGTGTAATTTAACCGGTATTTAGATTTCTAGGTTCTGGACCCGGGTTTTAGATTGTTTAACACCGGTACTCAGATAGCGTTATTTTCACGTTAATCGGTTTGTGTTGCAAGGCGAGTCAAGACTTCGAATCCCAGGGGAGTTCTCCAGGGAGCGAGGTTGCTGCGGAAGCATGTCTTGAAGTAAACGCGGTCCGATGGCAGGAACAAAGCTCACACACAAGTCACGCAACGTGGCGTGCTTTTGGATTCGTAGCGAGTGTACAACGTGTTTCTTTCAGGGCGTCGCAGGCACAGCCCGCGTGCCAGAGACATGGCTCGTCTATGGAATATTTGGGAGGGAGATTGGGGGTATATCAGGTTCCCATCAGTCTCCCCGATGAAATCTTCTCAAGTCGTCCGGCCCCCCTCGTTTTGAGTTTCCGGAAGAAATTCGATTGAACAGAACATTTTGTCTAACTTATCATTTCAATTAAAACCATTCTGCTTGAAATTCTTTCAATCACGGTTTCGGGACCTCTGAATTCTTTCCTTCTGAAATCTACTTAGTATCTATTCCACATTAAATAGAATGTAGTCAGGAAATAATCCAAGCAAAATTGTAAGATTAAAGCAAAGTTTGAATAATGAGTATCCTATTTCAACATAAATGCTACACAGGACCCCCTTTCCAATTGAATTGTTTTTGCAAAGCAATAGACATTTTCACAACATGTTTTAAACCATTTTGGGGCCTCTACTTTCTTTCTTACGAACTCTATTTAATATATTTACCAAGTGATACGTGTACATATCGAACTAAGATTAAGAAGCATGTAATAAGGAGCGAGCCCAACCAAAGGAAACCATCTGTAACTTACTGTGCTAGGGCTTGGAGGAGGTGAAGTATACTAGCGGACTTGATCACAGAAGCTCTTGCAAACTGGCCGGAAACGGTGCAGTGCGAAAAAGCAGCGCGAGACAACCAAAACTACTCCCCCCAAATCAGGACAGCTAATAGTGTCCTTTTTGTTTGCTTTTGTTGGTTTTCCCGAGGCTTTTCACACTTTTCCAAAGCAATGCCAACAGAGACCAAAGAAAATAAACAAAACAAGGCTACCCACGCCCCCCAGTCAGGACAGCTGACATCGTCTGTTTCTTTTTGTTTTTTGTTTCTCGAGGTTTTTCATACGTGTCCAAAGAAATGCACAAAAAACCTCGAGAAAACCAAAAAACAAGACTACCCCCCCCCCCCCCCGCCCGCTCAGGGTGACCTGTTTTGAAGAAAGACCGTCCCCCCTATTTAAGCAGGCCAGAACTGTTTCAAATTGGGTTGTGTAGTGTTGGGTTGTAATTGGGAAAGTGGGACCCCTTTGATTTGCAAAAGTGCTCAAAAGGCAGTTTCCGAGTAAGAACCTTTATGAAGAGTTTGTTTTCAAAAGAACCCTGATAAGGTAAACCCTGGTTTGTGTCAAAAGAAGAGACCTTCTGACGGGAACCTTTGGACACCCCAATAGTAAGATCCTCGTCACGCAGGGAAATGAGGTGGCCCATAATAACCACATCTGGGGAGCTTGGCTGAGTTCACCTGCTTTGTAGAGAGTTTAGTATTGGCTTAGCATTGGCTACGTGAAAGCTAGTATTGGCAATTTTTGGGGCCGGCTGGCGGGGATTATTTCTGGGGGACAGTTGAGTTTGAGGGAACACCTGAAACAATTGACACTGGCTCGTAGATTTGCATCCAACGCTCCCATGTCCCTTGGGACGAAACATTGCATGATTCAGGTACTGTCACACCAAGACAGTCGACATCGACACTTTTCAAGGTAGTTTTACATCCCCTGTAAGTGGCCTTCTTTTATGCCATTGTCAACAAATTCTAGAAGAAAGCAGCTGGTCAATTTGTTGCGGAATGTCCTGTAGCCGAGCCCTATGAATCAACAAGCATCCAGTGCTCCGCGTCTTCTAACACCCCCTTGCCAGGTCTCCTTTGTCCGGGACTTCCGCGCTGCAGCGGCGGCGGCCGTCTTCCCGGAGGTCCGACCCTGGCACTTCACCGCCGGGTGCGGCTGACATCTCTTGCGCCTGGCGGTGTGACGAGAAGTCGAGTTCGAGGGGGGAAAGGCCGAGGCTCGCGACGCGACCAAAGGGCCCGAAGGCCGCCGGAAAGCGGCCTATGCATCTTGGGTGTCGCCCTGGAAGGCCAGCGCGAAAGGCGAGCCCGGACAGCTGAATTGTGGATTTCAGACTTTCATGTGGAGTTTCTTAAAGGGAACTGGTCAGGAGTAAGCAATCCAGATCTTTTGTTCCGGCGCGGAAATGTAACGTCTCACTTGCTCACGCTGGAAATCCTCAGAAAATGGGGGCGGACTGAGGGGCAGACCGTCTGGATGACACTTCGGGCAGATGCTTGGCTTTTCCAACTTTGGACAGGACCAGGGACGCCCAACGGCCCACCTAGTCAGCACCTCATGTCTTTGGAACTTTAGTTAGCTGGTTTTTCGGGACTGAGCAGATGAGTGGGAAATGGATGGCCCCTTTGCACACGTCAAGTAGCAAAGGAGCGAATTGGAGATTCCGAGCACCAGCCAGCTACGCAACTGATGGTTCCATGCATTGTTGGCATGAGGCCTTAGGTTTTGTGGGAGCTGATCTCTCTGCCAGGAGCAGGCTATAGCATCGGGGGAGAAACTTTGCTGCAGAGATCTTTATCTTTTCTCATTCACCCAGTTGCCCAGTGGCGGCCCCTTTTTTCCTTTGTTTTGGGAAGGGTTTCCCTTTAAAGTCAACTGGGCATCTGGGTTGAAGGTTCGCCTCTGGTTTTGTTGCTTTTGTGCCTCATTCTGGCCGAGGTAGTTGAGGAAAAAAAATCGCGGGCGGGGGGCATGGTCAAGATGTTGGACCGCGCCTTGAAAGGGGATCCCCAAGTTTGATTGCCGCTTCCTCGTTGAAGCGGTTTTGGGGAAGTGCCGCAAACCCATCTTGCGGTGGTGTTAGTAGGCGCCGGGTAGTTGTGCACTCCACCTGCAACAGTGAGGCAGCCGGGCCAGGCCCAAGAGGCCTTCGAGGGTTGGCTTTGATTCAGCTCAGCATCGCATTGTATGGGTCTCGATGCATGTTCACACGTTCAAGTGGTCAGTACATTTTTGGCATGGTCACTTGCTGGCGTCACAATTGCGCCTCCCCCCCTGGTGGACTGCCGCAGTGCTGTCCATGCGCCGTGTGCTGCGCCCTTTTCTCAAGCCGCGTGGAGAGTTTTGAAGAATGAACCGAGACAGAGGCGCAATACCACACTCTCACAGTCGCCAACTTGAGCACTGGGCCCCATGCATCAAAACTTTCCGTGCCCCAAACACAATCCCATATAGCTCGCCTCAGTCAACACCAGTCAGACAGAGACCTAAAACCAGCTGCCCCTCCTCCCGGCCGCCCAGTTTTTTTCTTCTTTTTTTTTCCTTTTTTGGTTTTGTTTTTCTCCGGGGGCGCGCGCCCCCCTTCCCCCCCCAAGAGTAAACCCGGGAGCCATGGGCCCCTCGGTGTCTGCGGAGGCAGTAGCCTGGTGCCTTTGGCTGGAGGGGCCTCGAGGGGCCTGAGCCCAGCCCAAAAACCCCTTGGATGGACGGGAATCCTTTTTTTTGATAGCCCCCCCCCCCAAATAGTTGTTCTCAGTCTTGGACCTCGGAAAGTTAGTATCCTTCCCGCCCCGCGGTTCTGGGGGTTTCGGGGTCGGAGTTTGCCGTTATTCACGGAAGCTGGGGCTTCGACTCGGAGGGCACGGAAGATTTTGACATGCCAGGAACGGGTCCCATGGTCCCGAGGGCTGGGGCGGACTTCGAGTTCAATTTGATCCAAGCCAACTTTACGGCTCATGATTTGAGACCAAACCCCCACGCCATCAGTCTGGTTTCTGGTTTTGAAGAGGAGTCGAGGTCAGCCGGGCTTGCCTCCCACCTGCACCCTTTCCGGCATGAACGTGGACCGCAGGCATTGTTGCGATAGACCCTCCTGTCAGCTTCCCTCTGAGCATGTAGCAGCTGGTCTTTAGCAGGGATGTTCTGTATGGGCATTCGGCATGCCAGCGGTTTGGGAAGCAATCTTCGACCCCTTGGGTGTTAGGGAAGCAGCAGCTGGGTGATTTTCATGCTCGTGCCGAGTGTGTGTGGCTCAAAATTGAAGTGCTGAGGTGCAGCCCAGCTACGGCGCAGGCGGCGCAGGCGGGTCCGGACGGATGGGGTCTGGAGGATGCACCGTTTTGTTTCTTCTACAAAAGCTCACCCAGAATGAAGGGTGAATTTGCAGAACTCAGATCAGATGAAGTCAGACAAGCAGAATGCCCACCCAAAATGAAGCCCTGAACTCAGATGAGCTCACCCAAAATGAAGGTCCCCTCATAAGGCCAACTCAGATCAATAAAGTCGTGCAGATGAAGTTGGACGTCTGAGAGAGGGTGCCGGCAAGCGGCTGGCAAGCAGAGATGCCGAGGTGCCGGGGAAATTGGCGCTGACACCACCCGTGCGTTGGCCGGATTGGGGAAGTGGTTTGGGGCTCCCGGACATCTGAAGTGATCAAGAGTTGCAAGCTATTACCAGCTGAGGGTTCATGTTCCTCTTGAGACTTTGTGCAAAAACAACCTCGAGGAATTTCTGTTTTGATTGGTCCTTCGACGGTTTTGATTTGCGTCTTCTGGTCCTTTCGTTCGTTCGCTGGGCGGTTTGCCCACTGTTCCTCTCGTGCAGGCACCTCGACCACGGTGTGTCCAGCCCCATGCCAGGCCGAATTTCCGAAACCGAGCGTCAGCTGACTTTTGCCGGGGTCGATTTGGGGCCTCTTTCAGAGATCCTTTGTCTCTCAGGTGGTTCAAGCATCGCCGCATGGTTGGGATTTGATTATTATTATTGTTGTTGTTATTATTGTTATTATTGTTATTATCATTATTATTCTTATTATTATTTTTATTATTGAGTTCCCTTCTGATGAGGTGATGTGTAAAGGGGACACAGAAGGAACTCCACAGGAGGCCGACGGCCAAGGCATGACAGCAAAACAGCAGGTTGTCCATGTTTTGTGGCGGATGCTGCTTGGGTCGTCTTCCAACAGTCAATCCAGAGATAGTTTGACAGTTCGCTTGAGGGGGGATTTGAAGCAGCCGCCACTGTTTGCTCGTGTTGTTGGCGTGAGTCTTGTGCTGCCTTGAGCATGTAAACCCTGGTTCCAGGTTCAGTTTCAGCTGCCAACTGTCTGTTCTGCCTTGGTTCCACTCATGTTTTTCTTCCGTTTGAAATCCGGAAGACCACGGATACTCTACCTGTGGACCGCACCGCTTCCGTTTTGCTTGCGCCTTCTTGGTCTTCATCTCCTCTTTTCATTTGTGCTCCTCGTTGCTTCCCCTGACTGAAGAGATGATTCCCCTACTCTCCCTTCTCCCCCCTTCTCCGACCATCTCTGCTGTTGTGCCCCGCATTCCCAAGCCTCCCCGAGCAACTGGCAACAAGTGCGTTTGCAGTTTGTCCTGCTGCTTCACTGGTTGCCAGGTTTGAAAGCTGATAGCCTCCCCCACCCTCAATGAAGGGGCTTTTGTTGCATGGAACCCCCATCTTCCATTTGGTTAAGAAGATTTGTTTATTTCCCCTGTTGGTTTTAAAGGGAATCGATTTCACTACTGGAATGATTTCTATTTTTTCCAGGGGACGAAAGCGCAAATGGAGGCCATGGTTTCCCCTGGTGTTTTCTTTGTGCAACGCGGCTTGGCAGGTCTGGGTCCTCTGGGTCTGGGCTTCACTTCCGCGCCCTGGGGGTTTCCCTGGCGCTGGCGGCGGCCGCAAGGTTTGTCGGCCTCAGAGTCTGAGGGTTTGAGAGTCTGATGTGAGTGTTTGACGGTCGATGTGGACGTCGGATCCAGTGCCACAGAGCCCAGCGCTCGCCCGGATGCCATTTCCCCGTCCAGACTCGACCCCAGACTTCCACGGCAGTTCCCCGTCTGCCGCTGATTAAGAAAGCCGCAAGGCCGGCGAAGCCGCGGCGCTCGCGGCTCGCGCGGCGGGCGGAGAAGAAGTACCGCAGCAGGGCGCCCGGGGGGGGGGGTCTATGTTTGGATGCCTGTTGGAAAGGGAAGCCAAGGAAAAAACTTTCCTATGCTGGGACACCCATAGCTTGGGGTTCGCCCAACATGTCCAATACTTGGTTTTGGGATGGACCTCAGCTCTTGTGGCTGCCGTACAAACCAAAGAGGTGGGGGGGTTACAGTAGGTTATTCAATATAATCATATATGTTTATATATATATACATGTATGTAGTTATTTATTTATTTATTTATTTATTTATTTATTTGTTTATTTATTTATTTATTTATTTATTTATTTATTTATTTATTTATTGGTAAACCTTCATAAACATGTAGACATGTTGTTAGAACTACCAATCAACGGGTTTTGGCTGCTCACTCACATGGCCGATCCGCTTTGAGGCACGTCCCTCTTCGCCGACGCGGCGAATGACGAAGACCCTTTCCCCGGCATGTCCAGCGCGCGGGACGCCGGAGCCCTGGTGCTCTGAAACGATGCGGACTGGGGAGGGGGACAAGTCCAAGTGTTGCTTTTCCTCGCGGATGTGAGGAGTTCTTGTCTTCTTTTTGGTTGGCCGTGCAACCCCAACAGAGGCATGGGATATGTTGTGTATGCACGCGTGGCCGCGCGTTGGGCTTTGGTGTTTGTTTGGCAGTTCGGCGGCAAGTTGGCAAGGCACGGCTCGTTGTATGGTGGAAGCCGTTTGAATCAGGCAAGCACCTCATAGACACTAGACTGTTGCGGTCAAGACCAAGGTGCAATGGCCCATGGCCTCTTTGCCCACCACTCTGAAGCAGCGAACGGTGGGCCAGACACCTGTTGAAGCTCGAAACCTGTTCTTCGAGCTACAATTTTGTTCAGTTTCCCTTGGACCAGTGCGACCTGTCCACTCAAAAACCAGCTCTCCCCACCCTTCGGAAGCCGCTTCCCTGCACGCCCCGCCTGCCACGCGCGCGGCTCAGTTGCTCCCGAAGATGGAGGCGGAGGAGGACAAGACGAAGCAGGAGCCCTCAGAGCCGGCCATGGTGCTGAAGGCGCCCCTCTGGGCGCCTCTTGGGGGGGGGAGATGGGTGGGTCTGCCGGCGTTCGGGGGTCAGGGGGGCGGTTTTGGGGGAGGCTTGGGTTTGGGGTGGGTTGAGGCCGTTCTTCTTTCCGTGGTGTCAGCGACGTTTTTGTTTTTACTGAACGGCTTGCCCTTGCGGGGCCATGTGAGCAACAATCAAAACCCGGGTAGATGAAGGGTAGTAAGGGACAATCCCCTTGCCATCAACAGCTGGGGGTACCGCCTTCTTGATTCTTGAAGCATGGCTCTGGGTTCAGTTTTGTACCGGGTTTTGAGCCAGTGACTCATGTTGGACTTGAGCCAACCAGACCCCGAGCTCCGGAGTTTCGAAGCGATGGGAGAGGTGAAGGGCGACCTCCTGGTGGTGAGAGCTGGCAAAGGCCTCTACACCCAGGCGGGGATTGGAAGCCACTCGCTATGCGGGGATGCGGGTCGGGGGGTTTTGTGGCCGAGTTTGGCCACTGAGAAAGCAGGCTGTGCAGCATCATGGCCCCATTTGAGGCACAAAGTTTTTGTTTTTGTGCCGTCAACCCCCTTTGGGTTGCTTTTCAAGGGAAACCAAAGGGAAAACACCACCATTTTGGCAGGTGCCCCAAAATCAGGCGCACACCCAAGGAACGC